CACAATTATTGTCACGTTCTCCCAAGGTGTTTGAACTTTGTACTCAATCTTTGATTCCTGTGGGCATCTTCTGACTAGATCTTTGACTATGTGAAGGTCCGAGAGCGGATCGTCATAAAATTCACCTTGAGCATATTCTTCAGGTTCCAGTCCCATTAGCTCTTCAACAGATTTCTTCTTCAATTCTCGGGATGTAATTCAGCTTAGTGAGAGCTTCTTCATTGCTTATCTCTTGTAGTTTTTCTTTTACGTCCTGTTCAACCCATTCTAGCAATAGCAGGTCAGCAGCAGATGGAGCTTTGACTTTCTCAGACATATCTCACGGTGCTTTTCTCTTTGATGATTTCTTCTTTGATGATGAGGGTTGAACTGATGTAGGGATAGCAACAGAGACTTACCGTTGTAATGTAACATCGGAGTCACAGAGACTTACCGTTTTCATCATACTAAAGATTTGCTCGTTCTGACGGTCTGAAGACAATGGTGATTCATATGTTGCATTGTCAGGACTTCCTTCCAATCCTTGGTCTACATCTATGAAGGATGAGCCTATAGAAGTTCTCGAGAGGACACAGAGTCCTGACTCGGTATTTAGGGGCACGGAAGGATGATAAACGGTTAAGGCTAATGAGTCATGTGGGGCTTCGGATGATGAGGGTTCAGGTTGAGAAGATGATGATGGTTCAAAGCTAGTAGAGTATGGAATGAGAGATTGTGAAGGGTTTTGCTCACAAGTACGCAGCCTTTTCTCCCCCTCATGATGATCTGATTCATCGGAGTCATCATGCTTACGCTTAGGCAAACGCTCTTGATCACGGCATGAGGTGGATGAGATGTAAGGTGGGGCGAGGGCTAGAATTTCAGGGACTTGTAAGAGGTGAGATGGAAGGTTGGGTTCAGAAAGGAGTCTGTCAAGAAAGTACTCGGATAGGTCAATGATATTCATTTGGGTTAGGTCAGGGTGTGAGGTAGAAGGTGTGGATATGGTGACTGTGGGTATGATGGGGGTAGGAGTAATGATGGATGGAACAGTTCCCATGGAGGGAGTTGAGTGTGATCTTTGGTCTGCTACACCAGTTGGGACTACTGGACGTAGGTCTTGTAAAAGTGAAAATTTGAAGGCTAGAAGTTCAAACCTCAAATCCACCCTAAAAGTAGAAAAACTAGCGAAAGGAGAAAAACTTGACCTAAAAGTAGTATCAGTTCTCACAGCATCACTAAAAATAGCGGTGTCGTGGTCTGCTGGGGAACTTAGTGTGGTAGGACTTCCAACCATCATAGGCGTACCGCTGGTTGTTATGACAGGTGGTAATGAACCTGTATCAGTGTGTGAGGTAGGTTGTGCCCTAGAAAATGATAAAAATTCTGGAATAGAGGACACTTGACCTAACGTGCAATGGGTAACAGTGTGGGCGGTTCACTGATGGGTTCCCCTGTTTGGGTTGAAACAACCATCTATTGGGAGACGGTTGAGTAGTTTAGTTCTGGCTCATTTTGCGCTATTGAACTCAATGTAGCGTCTTCTACTCAGGAACTGACAAGGTCAGAACTTGTACCTGTGGGCTGAGTTCTGTTTATTGTAGTGACTGGGATTAATGAAACATTAATCTCACTTGAGGAGGAGACAACAACTCTCTTGGACAGAGTCTCACCTGCCCTCTTCTTAGGTTTAGTCACTCTCGGACCCTTACTTCAACTTGGTTTTGAAGTTCCCTAGGTAGACACAGTTGGGTTTGACTGCGTCGTAGGAGCAGAAGAGATACTAACCTTGTATTCATGCACATGTGGATCATTTGGAGCAGCAAGGCTGAGAAGTTCATCAGGTATGGGCATTGGTTGCATCTCATCAGTGTTTTCAGAGTTCTTGAAGTAGAGTAGCTGAGGAATCTCTTGCAACTCTGTTGATGGCCTTGGTGGTATGCTAGTGTCTTCCTTCACGAAGTGGTCGATCAGAATGGAGAACCAACGTACATATGGGATGTACATGGTCTTCTTGTTTGATGCATGGTTATTTAGCTGCTCTAGAATCTCTAACCATATTAGTTGTGCCCAATCATAATTTTTTGAGAAAATTACTTCATGGACTAGCTTCAGAATGTGAGTGTTGCATTGGTCATGGCCTGTTTGTTTTGAGGAGAGACATTTATACAGAATGGCAAAGAGGGTTCTCCACGGCCTGGGTAATTTGTTGCCATAAAATTGAGAGGATAGGGTCAGAGGGTAAGTGGCCTATCTTGAGCATGTCAGAAAAGAAAGTGTTGTCTGGGAAAGGATCATATTTAGACAATATGGGTAGGTGGAGGAGGGTGCGGAAGGTATCTTTAGTTATTTGGACAGTGGAGTTGGCTATTTTGGCTTCTAGAGTGGGGATTGGATTGTCAATTGTGTGCATGGTTCCCCAGAGCTGTCTTAGGTAGATTTTTGGGGCTTTGACAGATAAAGTGAGTGCTTGCCACAATGAATGTCCTTTTAGGATAGAAATCATCACTCTGTCTTGACACTTGAGTAGAGTGGGTTCAACACATAATTGTTATCCTTTATCTCAATCGAGTTCTCTTTTGGGTAGACTTCCTCCTCTGTGATGAAAGTCATTGTACCAAAAATTCACAAATAAAACATTGATCAGAACAGAATGGGTTTTGGTCTTTGCGAATTGGGCTTGGTTTTGGGTAAATGGGCCTTAGTTTAAGGTTTTTGGGCTTTGATTTGGATTATTTGGTTATTGGGCTAAAGGAACTTGGGTAATGGGAATTTGGGCGTAAAGTTGATTGGTTGAGATCTCAGAGGTATGGAATTCGAATGTAGGAAGCCGGGTGAATAGTTTTAGGATTTTGGATAGAGGGCTTGTGGGTGTGAGATTTCGGGAGTGAAGTCGGGTCCCCGATTTAGTAATGATTTCGGGAGGAGGGATTTCGGATGGAAATTCGGGTGGCCGTCTTTAAAGATTTCGGTGAATATCTCGGGGAAGGTGAATTCGGCAGGGTCAGTTTCCAAGATTGGGATTTCGGTTGAGATTTCGAATGGGATTTCGGCTTTGAGGGTTTGAAAGGTTATGTATGAATTTTAAGCTTTTGGCTATGGAGGCGTGTGAATTTGATGGTGTTTTCCGGTGGTTATTGAGGTGGTTTTCTCAGGCGACGGGGAGGGAGGTTTCCGGTGTTAGACGACGGCTAGAGGGAGGTTGCCGGTGGTTTTTGCCGGTATGACCTCCATGCCCTTGTCACGGAATTGTCTGATGCTAAACAAGTTGTGCGTCAATCCAGCAACATACGACACGCCTTTGATTATAACCTTGATATCTCTGTATCCAAGGATGGAGCAGAGTCACTATATCCGAACCTCACTTTCCCACCAAACTTTTCAATGTAGTTGCTCAACAGCTCTTTCTTCACAGTCATGTATGTGGAGCAACCTGAATCTAAGTACCACACATGACTGACCTGCAAAATTAAGCGCTTAGGTACCTATTTAAGGATGGGTCCATCCTTTTTATGTGAAGAAAGAATAGAATCAGTTATGATCAGATCACTTTTAGGAACCCAGACTTGTTTGACTTTTTGAAATTTGTTTGAAGAGTTCCGGAACGGTGAGTGTGATATTTTAGTGTTTGTGAAAACTTTCTCTCTTGCTAGTCTTTTGAGATGTTTGACAGAATATACCTTGAGAGTATAATTCATACACCCTTACAAGAAGAGAAGGTAACACACTCATTATTAGCATTCACATCACACACATCATTTTTTGAAAAAGGAGAATTTAACTGATCACGCATAAAACAATCACTTGAATTAGAATCAACAGAACTAGAGTGAGAAGTACAAAGCTTAGGAGAACCATTAGAAACAGAAATGGAGGAGTTAGCTGAAGAACTAGAACGAAAACAATCTCTAAATCTATTACAAGACTTTTCTACAAAATTAAAGATTTTAGAAATATTCTTTGTCTACACTGGTCTTGTTTCCTTGCTTAAATCCTTCTTGGGAGTCCAGGTCATCCTTCCTGCAGTGAATTTAGAAAAAGCTTTTCATGTATGTGGAGCAGAAGATAAGTTCCTTTTCCTTTCAAAATGATTTTTCTTTTTAAGCTCATTAGAAAAAGAAGTTTCAGGAGATTTTGAGCCTTGAGAGGATTTATCATACAATTCAGAGATTTTCTTTAAAAGATTTTCCTTTTCATTTTTAAACTTTTCTCTTTCTTCTTCAAAAGAAGAATGGAGATCAGCCATTTGCTTTATTAAAGGAGGAAAATATGGTTCTGAAACTTTTGAGGTTGAAGCTTCTTCCTCACTGGACACATTTTGATTCTCAGGAGGAGAGTAAGTAAGGTAGTCTTCAGACAAAGGAATTTCTCTAGTAGTATAGCTGTTATTGAGAGCAGTGTAATCGAAACTAATTTCAGCTTTAACCCTATTTTTCCTATTCTCATCTTCTTCCTCAATAGTTTCAGCAGCATATGTAAATTTCATTAGATTAGTTAACCCTTACTTCATGTACCTTATGTCGTACAATTGAATGCAATCAATTTTCTTAAAATTTTCAAAGGGTTTGAAAACCAAGTCCTTCTCTAGGGTTGTAAAACTGAATGTCTTTGATTTTACTATTCAACAGATGAATTGTTTATTCAGTTTGTCCTTTCTTGGCTAAAATATCTTCTAACTCTTTTATCTTAGAGTAAAGATGACCACGCTCATTGTTAATGAGTTCGAAACGTGTAACAGCTTCAGATCGTTGTCGTTTATTCTCATCACGTTCCTTAGTTAAGTCACTAACAGTTTGCTTAAGCTTAGTTACTTGTAACTCTAACTTAGAAACTTTATCTCGTGAATCTTTTAAGCATGTTGTTTCAAAAGCTCCTTCCAACACTTGTTTTTCCATAACCTTTTGGTTGTTTGCAAGTCTATCTTTGACTTCATTTATCTTGTTTTTCTCTCTTTTTAGAGATGTGGTTAACTCTTTCATTTTGACATTTTGCTTAGAAATCAATGAGTTCAGCTTACTTACTTCATTCTCAGATGATGTGGGAGCATTGTCTTCTTCTTCAGAGTCATCACTCTCGCTTCCAGAATCAGTCACTTTTGCCATCAGTGCAAAATTCTCTGGCAGGTTCCTCTTTGCAATCCACCCATTGATCTCATCAAGAGGGGAAGTCTTAGTACCACTAAATGTGAGTGGTACTATCTATGTCAAGAGGCATAGAAATCACCTCCTTTATCACTTCTAATGACCCACTTCCAGATCTCTTGATATCATTATCTAGAAATCTCCTCTCTACTGAGATTAGTCTTTCTAGAGACGAGTAAGAAGTTCTAGCTAATCTTGGTATTGCAGTTGCCACACCAGAGATCACTTCATTCTCCTCAGACTCCCTGTCAAGAAGGAATTCCCTGACATCATCTGGATCAAGGTTTTCCTTGTGGTCCCTTATATATCTTGTGAGGGCTCCAACATCTGAGTCAGGTAGTATATGTTTACCATAAACATCTAGGTGTGAGATCAGTGCATTGTCTAGTGTCTTAAAGTAGCGAAAGTTCTTATAATAGAAATCTTCTAGCTCAGATTCAAGCATTTGTGCTTTTGTTGGTAGCGATGATATTGGGATATCTGGCAAGGCTGAGAGTGGGTCTACTAAGTGCCTTAAAACAATCTCTTGTATCATCTTCCTAGAGCAGTCTCCAACAAGTGAGAGGATAAATCGCCTGAGATTCTCTGGGTCTATTTCTGGAAAAATAGCCCTATAGTAGAAATAAGCTCCCGACATAATACAGATGGCTGCCTGATTTGATGATTTCTTCATTCGTAGTGCTTTAATCAGATAAGCGCCAACCATAGGTTCCAGGCGTGATATAATTTGTGTTGAAGCAGTAGGTCTTCCTGATTCCACAAAAAAAACAGTATGTCTATCCAATAATTCTTCCTCAACATGGAGAAACTTATAAGTGTTCCCTGTAAGGATTGAAGCAGAAGCTGGTATCCCACATTGATGTAGAGGAGAAAGTGATAATGAAGATAATAAGTGATGGTCTCCTTCTTGTAGTAGGTCAATATAATTAGATAGTGCGGTGTCACCTAAAGATGTTATCCTGTCTGAGTGATCCAACATCCTTTTCTCAACTTCAGGATACTCTGTATCGATGATTGCTGCAACATAGATGGACACTCCCTTCTTGTCAGTGGACAACGCAACTGTCACATATGTGTAGTCATGATTTGTTAGCCACTTTATCAGACCCAAGGAGAATGCTGATGCATTTGGTGGCACCTCAACTATACACATTCTTGGTCCCCTTGTTCTACCAAGCCATGTAGGTAAATATATCTCAATATCATCCTCTGATACACCAACTAAAATCCCCAGTGTCATCCCATCAGGTTCACTTAACAGGGGTAAACAGTAACTTGATAGCTGTGGTGCAATGGTTATTACAGAATCAGAATAGTTAGCGAGTAGGACATTCTGTATTGTAGTGAATCCTATCCTGCCAGATGCTAATAATAATGGTATGGCTAGGGAGTATGCTAAGGTATGTGCAAAATGGGACTCATCATAATCAGGGAAATTAAATCTGATATCTAGATTAGATAGTGATCCTGCCCAACCTCGATACGTCTTCAGCGGCTCAGCAGACAATAGGTTATAAAATGTCACATCTTTCCCGAAGGGACTGAGCAAATAAGAGACAACATCATCCAAAGTTTTCTTATCCTCTCCGGTCATGGTATCATCCATTGAGATAGTTTCAAGGGCTTTCTCAACCGTTTTGTATGAGACAGTTCTAACTAACTTCAGTGCTGGCTCTATAAAGTCATAGTATATATCATCAACAGATGCTGGCCACTCGAGTCTTTTCAGATAAGGCATCATGTTAGGAAGAGTGCCCCACTTTGCCAAATTAACAAGAAACTTCACTGCTTGATCATACTGCGATACATGCCCCAACTCAACATCACTTGATTCTGTTGATTCTAAGTAATCCCTGAAGTATGCAAGCTCATCCTCCCTGAGTGGTTCATATTTATGATAACCCCGTGATCCTCTCTCCTTGATCTCCCTGTAATTTGGACTAATATAGTCAAAGAACTCATAAACTCTATTAGCTAATATCTTTCCCCATTCTCTAAGAACCCGTGAATTGTATGGCCTATCACGATGAACACTTCCCCTCATGGACCCTCTGATCAGCATCATGACATACTTTATCATGTCAGTCTTTGTGTGGTAATTCTTGTTCTTAAAATAATTCGAGATGATCGAATCAACAACTCTAGCCATTGCTCGTGCTCTAGCAGGAGATATCTTCTCCACTGAGCTGGTTTCCGAAATTTTATCTAGTGAAAAATAAATCGTGTTCTCCTGTTCAGCAAGGAGAATAGAGTTGTACCTAGCAGCCGACCGAGCACTCAGAAGATCTTGTTCTGTCAGGGTATAAATAAGCCCTAACTCACTTGCAGCATTAAGGGTTTCTATTGCTGTTGATCTTGGTAGGATCGAGTCATGAGCAGCAGACTCATCACCATCTTCTTCAGTTGGGATATTTTTCCCATAGGATTTCATCAATTTTTAGACTGTAGCTTTCCTCGCAGTCTTATAAGCCCTGTATATTATCGCAAGATCAACCAGATCTACTGGGATATTCTCCAGATGATATGCCTTAGTATGAGAACCCCTAACACCAGCAGTTGATATTCTGCCGTCTGCAACTGAATCAATCTTTGAGATCAGGGTCCAAACAACTGAGAATTTCAGGGGATCTGCAGCTGATTTACTTAGGCCCAGAGTTTGAAAGTCAGCCAGCATCCCCATTCTCCCTACTAGAAGATTATCATAAGCTCTTGCTTTGTGTCTTCAACTGACCTTACAACTTCATGCACCATTGCAAGATGAACTCTCGTGGGCAGTGTTCCTCCACAGACATTGGCATGCATAGCAGCTGGTGTGTCATAAATTTCCCCAGATCTCACGATGTGTAGAGATAGTTTCGGCCCACACACCTGAGGATTTGTTTTCATCTCTTTTGCTACAAGTCTCAGCCCGTATTTATAGTGAGTGGTTTGAATTACCCTATTACAATTAGGAAACATTATCATTAGGTGTGTGGGCTTATTAGAGCACTTATAATTGGGCCTAATTTTCTCTCAACTAATCTAATTAAGTATATATACTCATTAATAAAAGTACAGATAAATTGAACACAATAAATAATATTCTAACACTCTCCATGTGCTCTTCTTTGGAAACGGTACTCGGTGTTGTTTCCCCTTCATACATGATTTTTGGTAAATCAGTGACCATCCTTTTATTGTGGAAGGTGAAAAGACCCTTATCCGAGATGCCCATATCGATGATGCCACAATGTCGCCTTGTCTGAGACATCAGCCTGAAGGCATTTGTTTTCATCTGTTTTGCTACAAGATTCAGAGAGTAAAACATACATTCGATTTGCACTCATAACTTATTGTTGTTGTTGTTGTTTGTTGTTATTACTCTTATTATTGTTATTATTGTTATTATAATTATTACTATCTCCGTCCCGTTAGAAGATTCCCATAGCAAAACGGCACGGTTATTTATGCAATAATTAAATAAAGTACTTCGAGTTCATTTTGAGAAATAATTTTAATAGATATATGTTATAGTGTAGTTAGTATTGATAACTGTGATGTTATAAATATATTATTTTTATGATTTCATGATTAATTTTTCAATTAAGATTATTAATTGTTTCCTAAAATGGAAATGAGAACCTTCTAATGGGACGTCCAAAAAAGGAAAGTGGGAACCTTCTGATGGGACGGAGGGAGTATTATTACTACTAGTATTATTCTTACTAGTATTATTCTTACTAGTATTATTATTATTATTATTATTATTAAAGAAGTGGGCCTCACAGAGAACAGAAGTGGATTAGCCAGAGGCCGGAGACGGTGGTGTTATGGAGGGTGGCGGCAGATGACACGTTGGTGCCAAACGAAAGATCAGCAGAGCGACGACGGTTCTTCCGGTGGCAGACTCGCTTGGCTGCGGAGGCGGCGGACTCAACGCTGGCAGACTCTCCGACGGTGGTGGTGGACTCACCGGAGGCGAACTTCCTAGACAGTAGTGCCACCATAGAAACGGAGGCAGAGTAGGCTTAGTGTTTTGATTTTTATTTTTCTATTTTTTAATTGTAAATAAATCTGGAACTTCATTAAGGGTATTTTAGTCATGTCATTGCACTTTTACTCCTATAAAACATTGAACTCCTATTTAAGCACATATTCAATGTTTTACTCCTATTAAGGTAATTACCCCAAATGAAATTGATTGAGAGTATTTTGAATATCTATGAGGCTAGGACGCCCATGAGAAAACTTACCCACAAGAGCAAATTCATAGCACCTAGACAATTTCTCGATGTCTTCCTCTAAAATTGGAATGAAAGGTTCATTGTGACTATTTGCTCGTACGGAATCATAGCATATGCCTTTTGAGATATTCCAAAACGGAGAATGCTTTTAGCCACTGGAATAAAACTTCGCTGCCCATCAACTACTTCTGCATAGGTTTTTCTTCCATTTGAATATTTGTTTGGAAAAGATGAACTTGGTTACTTCTAGTTGCAGCAGATCGGATCTTTGGCATGCTTCTCGTCTTCATCACTTGGCTCTTCCTCCATCTATCAAACCCCATATGTTATGGTTCATGTAGTGCACTTTTCTATTTCACACAATACATAATTCTCAAATCTAACGCTAGATATTCATTCTCATTTCTCTACACTCATTGTCATGTGTTCTAAATTCTCTCTCTATATCAGAAATCAATATAATATACTAAGTACACAATACTTGATACGTTTAATTAAAATTGTTATTAAATCATGTTCATTCTCTTTTCTGACGCTACATGTTCATTCTCATTTCTCTGCACTCATTGTCATTTGATCTAAATTCTCTCTATATATAAGAAATCAATATAATATACTAAGTGCACAATACTTGATAAGTTTAATTAAAAAAGTTATTAAATCATTCTTATACTAAAATTTGATAGCTATTAAACGATATATAGAAAAAGCACTCATGATACAAAAATAAAGATACAATTAGATCTTTTGAATAAATATTTTTAAATAATGACTACTAATTGTTAAAAAATTGTTTTCAACTATAACATAAAAATAGGTTGGAGTAATTTATTTGAATAGTTATTATAGAAATAATAGTACAACAAAGGTTGTAAAACAATAAGTATATCTACAATCTAATAAGCATGAATAAGAGTTAGGGTATTGTGGGTATAGAAAATTTTGTTGGTGATACTGTGAGCTTGGTTGACATCTACAATATACTTAAATGATTGTAAAACTTTGCTTAGCATTTCTGTACCGCCGTTAGTCTCCGTTATTATCCCCGCAAACTCTTTCCTTTAGTAATGCCCACACGGCCCACACCCGCTCACTCACAAGGTCACCTCCTCTCGCTCCGACTTTAGTCGCAGAGGCAGATTCGGCCACACTGCTCGCACATCCCCTGCTCTTCGTCTTCTTCGGCGTATATGTAAGTGTTGGTTTTTATTTCTTTATTCTTTATTAGGTGTTCATTAATCTCGCATTTATGGAGCTAATTTCATGTCATTTGTGCTTGCAAATTGTAAGGAATAAATGTAATTAGATTTTGATGATGCTAGGTTAATTAGAATTTGAAAGTACCCCTGTAGAAATTTTGTATTAGAATTTTTCCTTGTAAGTATTAGCATAGTCGACGTACCAGAAACCCTCTTAATCAGAATATCTACCACAGTTGCTCCCAGAGTTGCTCCCATAGCTGCTCTCCAGAGAAGCTACCAGAGTTGGCATCAGAGGCGGACATCAGAGTTCGGATCAGAAAGCCTCATCAGACCTGCTCTTACCTAGCAGAACTCGAAGGCACTTAACAACGGTCGTTAAACTAACGGGAAATCCTCTAACGGCTAGGAGCCATTTGACGGGAACATGGTACTGTACACGCATTAAATGCTCAATTAATGATGTACGTACGAAGATATATTTAAAGCTGATGATTGACCATGCGAGTATCTTCGCGCCCCCAAAATAGCAAGTCGAAGGTCCAACCGGTCAAATCAACAGTACAAGCATTTAATGAAGTTGTCTTCTACACTCCAACGGGAAGACTGCTCCCAGTATATAAGATACACTTTGAAGAACTACCAGGATAACTTTTGTTACACGAACTTGCTCAAATTATTTACTCTGAACTAAATACCTTCAAGCTTTCTTGAGATCAAAGACTCTCCTACCTCAACAAGAAAAAGCTCAAATTGGAAGATATACTCTCTTATCCTTCATCCAACTAACAAGTAGCAAAGTTCCTCAGTTCTTCAACACTTCGAAAGCATCATCTACACATCCTTTGTGAAGAAGCAACGTTGGAGAAATCTGATTTTGAATCAAACACTTCTTGAAAAAGAAGGGGCGTCTCAAACTAACTGGAGTAAGTGAATTGGTGATACTTCCAAGAGACTCGGTGAAACGAGACCAGCCATCAGGAAGCAGGACTGCATCCTGGGTGGCAACTAGGCTTGAAGAAGACGTGGAGTGCTTCTTAAGTACTAGGGACTAAGGCATTGTAAACTGTTGTTTTTGCAAGTTTAGTGGAACAGTGGACTAGAGGAACAAGTTGTTCCTTGAACCACTATAAAAATCCCCGGTGTCATTTACTTTACTCATTTGTTTCTGCACTTAAGAACTTGACTGTTTAACTCAAAAGGTTGGACTCTGTGTTCAGCAGATCTTCCTCAAGAGTTATCAGAAAGGCATTTGCCTTAGTGTTTTCTGAGGCTACCCGGATAGAAACCAATTGGTTGCCAGGTCCAGTTCTGCCATCAGAACTTGACCTTCTCTGTCACCAGAATTCGACCATCTCTGGTAAGTCAGTTGTGACTTGGAGAAAAGTTTAAAATCCTGAACAGTCTATTCACCCCCCTCTAGACTGTTCTCATACCAAACCAAACGGGACCAACACAAATCGATCCTTCTCCTCTCCAGTTCAAGTTATGGAATTCCAATTGGCATGACCACCTTCAATCCTTCTCTCTCATGGCCATATAAATGCATCTTATTCAAATGGCGGACGGTTTTCCCCAATTGCTCACACTTTTCCTGGTACGTGTTCTATCCATTATGGTTGAAATTTCATGTTTTGTTACTCTACGGGTTTCATTTCAACTATTCATGGAACACCTTCGCACACAAAATTCAGGTTTTGACCATTAAATAAAAAAACGAATTTATGTCCATAGTGTGTCTTCTTGGCTGCTATGATGATTCTGGGCGTTTTTAGAGGGACGTGGGATGACATAAAGTGTCTTTTATAGCTGTTGGAAGGGTGTTATCCCAAACAGCCCAGAAAGTGTTTCATGATTTGTTTAAAAGGCTAAAATAGGAACCATTCTTTAGGAGCACACCAAGTGTTCGACAGAATGTCTGAAAGAACATTTGAAATTCCAAAATAGACCGTATGCCTAAGGGTGGCGCTAAAAAAAATGGTTAAGTTTCTGTGAAACAAGTAACTAATTTTGGCCATTTTTGTTCAAAACCATATTTGTTTCCATTATTTTTGAAATCATAAAATTAAATATTTTAATTATGTTAATTTAGAATTAAACACAATTAACCCTTTTCGTATATGTTAATTTGATTGACATATGTAATATTTACTTATCATATTGTACTATGTATACTTTTGAGTTGCTTATAATTTTAGTTGCTGCATTTTTAGTTGCTTCATATTTTCACGTATGAAGCACCAATTGTCAAACCATTTTTCCTAAAGTCGTTGTCTGTATCATTTTGTACTATGTATAATTTGTTAGAAATACTGAATGTCTTTGATCCATCGTAAGTGTTTGTAAATATGTCTAAATGCTATTTCTGAATAAATGGCATTTCATGCATATATAGAATAGTTTTTTTAAGGTTATCTACCATGAGTTCAACCGAATTAAAAACTTAAATTCAAAATTTAGTAACATTATTTAAACTAAG